TTCAGCTACATTAGCAATTCCGCCAACACCATTTGATATTTAAAAAAATCTCCTAGATTCAGCAATTCAGCAAAAAAAAAACACGCACTAAATTCAGTCAAATGTAGTTAAAAATTCAACAATTCTTCTAACACATAGTGATACACAAATATATCAATCAGACTAATCTGAGAGGTATATGAAGATATTTAAGATATTAAAAATTAGGTTTGAACTATTCTTTTAAAATTAATCAGATAATATAAAGATGATATATTATTCAGATATTTAAAATCACTACCAAACATGTAGATCGTGTTTGGGGGTTTCAAATAACAACGTATGATTTGGATTTTTTTTTTTTAAACTGTTTGAAAAACTTGATTGAATATGTATTAAATATAAATTCATACTTTATTAGTTTATTTAACTTTTTTTTGTTGACACAAAATTGTTTAACTAATTTTATTTAAATTTATTTAATTAATTATTTTTTAAAAAATCAGCCAGATTCCGCTAGATTTAACCGTTACCATTTGCATTCTAAGTTATTCAGCTAGATTTCGCAAAAAAAAAAAACACCAAAAATTTAGCATGATTCCGCAATTAAGTTAGATTCAGCCAAATTCCGCTGTTACCATTTAGATCCATAGTGAGAGGTGCAACTAAATATCATCATTTTAAGGGAGGAAAATGCTCCTACAATGATTTCTGGTAATTAAGTCATGTTTAGAAGAAAGATTAAAAGAGGCATCGAATTTGCACTTTAGCAAAACGTCAGGAGGTCTTCTCCAAGAGGCACTGATTTGAGTCCGGGAAGAAGTGGAAGGAAGGAACCAATAGCAGAATTTGTGTTAGAAGCTAACAGTCATTCTTGAACATCAGCGATAACATAATCCACCACCTCTTTCTTCGGATTAGGGAGATGTTTATTAAAAATCAAAATTGTTTCGGCTTTTCCAAATCCGGCACATTATCCGAAGGGAAATGTTTAATCTTTTGTAGAATGGGAAGTTTCCAAATTTTTGTCTTTAACACAAGATCACCATGTGGTTTGTCTATTAGTTAGGGGTAGGCAT